TTAGTGCCTAATAGAATCACACGTTATTTGTAATCTGCCCCTTCGGATTACCGTTATTAAGGCTATTATTTTACGACAGTTCGGTTTCCCCGCCATCGTCTCTCAGCCATCCATATCGAATAGATTGTTCATTAAGATAACCGATGGCGGAAAAGGAAAGTGGCGACTTGGAATAACTGCCTTATTTTACAATAAATCTGAAGCCGCCTTCTGTCCTAAAAGGTCGAAAACTGCTTCGAAAACGGAAACGGTTTTATTTATTATTCGATTTTTCATCCGTAATTTTCATTTTAATGTATTTTATTAGAAAGGTGTTATTTCAGGAGTGTTAACGGATTTGTACAAAATACTATTATCACATATGGTGCAGTTGCCTGGTTTCAGAAAACAAACCAAACAACGGAAAAGAGCTCTAAAATTCTAAAAAGATCATGGCTTGATTGGTTATCCGAATCAGTGCGTGCAAGAAGGGACCTAAGTCTACATTTGCTTCGGTCTTTCGCCTTTATCCCATCCACTCTTATCATTCTCAAATCCTCTTCAACATCCTTTTTTCATCAGGTTCTCGGTGTACCTCTCCTTCTCTTTCCACCTACTTCACGTTTCATTGTCATAATAGGAATTCTTGCTTCAGCCATTTTTTCAATATGTCCCAGCCATCTCAGTTTTTGTGCTCTTGCTACTCCCGCCATGCTCGGTGCCAGATATAGTTGCTTTAATGCTTCATTTGTTCTTCTGGTCCATTTGTGGTTCTTCTGGGCCATATCTTCTTTCCTCCAAAAATCTTCCTCAGTATTTTTCTTCCCAAATCTCTAGCCTCGAAATTTCCGTTGGAATGAACTTCCACGTTTCACAAGCATACAAAACTATTTGTCCTATCATTGTATTGTACATTCTGATTTTAAACTTCTTGAGATATTCTTACTCTTAATAATTTTCTGTGCTGCGCTAACACATCTACTTCCTGCCATTATTCTTGCCATAATTTCTTGAGTTACATTTGGTTTTCTTAGAAATACGGTTCCTATATATGTGAATGTATCTACTTCCTCGAACTTGTATCGCTTCCCTCTCCCAGAATCTATTTGTAGACATCTTCCCTTCTCAAATGGACAACGGCAAAGAATAGATTCTCGAAATTACAACGACAAGCATGCTTAGCGGTGACTTTCCCCATTCCACGCCGTCAAAACCTATGGAAACTCTACACGACTTATCTCCCCTTCAAATTCTTTTGGAAAGAGAGGCGAGATGGGTTACATATAGATTTCTAAGTATGGCACGAGAATGCCAAGGAACAATCAAGTTCATACAAAATCGACTAGTAGACAAACTACAGTCGGATGACATTCTGGAAATGGTCTCAGATCTCACATCACCGGTCCAACCTTGGACACGTACTTACAATGTCCTGTTTCCGAATAGGGACGAATGGGATAAGCCGAGAAACGGTTTGTTACATGCGGAAATATTTTGGTACAGGGACGGATCCAAGAACGAGAAAGGATCTGGCGCAGAAATTTACTGCAGAATCCAAAGACTGAGATCTACCACAGTCTTGGAAAGTACACCATAATTTTCCAAGTTGAGCTATATGCTATTGAAACCTCTGCGCAAGTGATGGTAGAACAGCAATACACCGGGAAAACAATAAGCATATTTTCGGATAGTCAAACCGCGTTGAAGGCACTTGAGGCAACGAAAAGCACGTATATGACGATTCTTCGTTGTAGGAAACTACTCAATATATTAGGAGATAGAAACAAAGTGTCGCTAATATGGATACCAGGACATGTCGGCCTAGAGGGAAACAAAACTCGCTGATTCTATCGCCAAAACTGGTGCAGGTACGCCCATTCGTGGGCCCAGAACCGACACTTAGCGTTCCAAAAAATCTCGCAAGGGACAGGCTCTCTGAATGGGTTAGAGGTGCAACATTTCGGGACTGGAATGACAGTCCCAGAATGGAACATTCCAAGAAAATTCGCCATCTAAACGTAGAAAAAAAAACAGGAAAACAAGAAAACTTTTAAAGGCTGGTAGGAATGGAGCGCTTACGCTCATTGCAGTATACACGGGCCACTGCCGGCTAAGATGACACCTACAGAAGCTGGGACTGGTGGAAGACGCCGAATGCCGACTCTGTATGGAAGAAGACGAAACAATGAAGCACATTGTGTGTTGAGGTGTTTGGCAAAACTACGCTAGACCTATCAGACCTAGGAGACATATCACCCTCGGACATAACAGTCTATATTAAAAGGTTGGGTCTTGATGGGGAACTTTAACACTCTTTTTCTGTTAAAGAGTTTGTAGAAACTGAGCCACAATAGGCCCTCGCGGCCGCAGTGGAATCTCTCTTGGTGAATACGAAATGTAAAAAATACGTGTTACTTTTATTATATCCAACCTTAATAAATATCTGTTAAATAAATATTAATATATGAGATCCCATAAGTATTCTTGCAATGGTAGTTGTTTATGCAATTATGGCGTTTTAATATGCAATTAAAATGCTGTATTTTTTTAAATATTGTGATAACTGAATTATATTTACGAAATAACCCAATTTTCATGATAAAAAGTTTTTTTTGTCGGAAAATTTTATTCAAACCTCGACATCGCAAAAACGATTTGTATTCAAAGCCTATTTTTGGCAAGTGGTTTCCTACAGAATTCTAATATCTTAACTTTTTTGCACAGATGTGTTTCGACACAGATTTCATATTAATACTAAATCCCCCGTAAAATAGTATTTTATTTTTTGGAGGTTACCTTTTCTAATACGATTTTTCTTTTAAATAAATAGTAAGAAATAATTTTTATTTAATATCTAATTTAAATACAGCGTGTTTTAGAAAACATATGCATCTCTCGTGGGGAGATTCCTCACGTATTTTTTTTTTCTTATATCAACATATAATGTGGGTGGTAATTCTGAAACTATGAATTTTTAAAAAATCTTAGAGTCTTATTGCTTCGGCTTTTGTATTAAATTTAAATAAAATGAACAAGTAAAACTCCTTGCAATAATGAACATCTCTAGGTTTGTTCCAACCAGCATTTCGGGATCGTTTCGAAATCGTACTCGAAACGGTTTTCTTGCACTTTGGTAGCATGTGCGGACTTCGAATAGTTTCGTGACGATGCAAAAAGTATCAACGTTGAAACGCTTTGTGGATTGTTTTCGAGACTGTCAACAGTGTCAAGTGTGCGTGTATCGATAGGTTTTTTGTTTTTGTTTTGAATTTCATAGCATAACCTTATTATTTTTGTTTGCAATTTGCAATAATAATTATTATTATTCTTGAAATGGAGAATCGGAATCCAGTAATTGTTGGTAAGTGTATACTCACTAACTCACTTACCTATCCTCTCTTTTATGATCCTGTTATGCGTAGTTTCCTGTTATCTAATTGCAGTGGTAGAATCTTTGAACAACTTGTTTTTTTTGTCACGTTACACGGTAAGTAAATCTATTGTCGGCCCCAAGGGGCAAGACAATAGTTTTTAGCTATCTTCTCAAGTTTAATAATTTTCTCATTATGTTGCATGTTGCGAGAATAACTGACTTCTGAAGTTGTATGTAAATATTTTGGTTAAGTTCCAGTTTTTTCAGATTGTGAAGGAGCTGCTTGAGGATTTCTCCAGTTGATCCAATCACTATAGGCACTACTGACACCTTATCTACTCCCCAGACTTTTTTCATATCCTGTGCTAGTAAGGTATATTTGTCGATCTTTTCTTAATGTTTTCGGTTGACATTTGTAGGGGCAGGTACAGCGATATCAATAAGATAGATTTCTTTTTTGAGTTTGTCCAGCAGACATATGTCTGGTCTGTTGTGTTGCACTGTCCGATCTGTTAATATTTCTCTATCCCAGTATAATTTACAAGCATCAGTCTCTAAGACGTTCATTGGGACATAATTATAATATGGAATGCGCTAGTTAATGTATTTATACGTCAAACTAAGTTCTGTATGTATTATTTTTGCTACGTTATTATGTCTGTCGGTATACTCTCTTGAAGCTAGCGTTGTACAACTACTAATAATGTGTTTTATATTCTCGTTTCCTTCTCCGCACATTCGGCATACTGTTGTTTTAATTGTGGGGTCCTTTATTATATATTTTAGGTATGATTTTGTGGCTATTACTTGGTCTTGAATTGCGCACATAAATCCCTCTGTCTCTGGGAAAATCGTTCCGTGTGTCAGCCATGCTACTGAAGCTGACTTATGAATGCTGTCCAAATCAAGTGTGTTGAGGTATCGGCCAATTATTATTATTATTATAAAGATTACGATGCATCGATTTTAGTATAAGTAAAATGATAAAATATAAACTTGACTCTACCGAGCTTTTTAAATAAATTAATCTCATGATTTCTCTATTGCTAAAATCGATGCATCGAAACGTTTAAACGCAAATATCTTAAAAACCGTTCACTCTTTCAAACTAAATGAAGAGCATATTTTTTACGTAAAACAGTCCGAGCTTTAACTTTCATTTATTGAAATTACTGTATCTATAAGGATAAAAGAAGTACCACCAGTACCATTTCACTCTTCTTCTTTTACCCGAATAGAAAGTATCCTTTCAGAACCGTTACAGAATTTTCAACTATCGCCATTCGCTTTGGCATCAAAATGTGTGTAAGAGTACCAAATTTCAGGAAAAACTATTTAACAATATTCTTAAAAATAAACAAAATATATATTATATTTATTTAACGTTTCGAGAGCTGTAACTTCTTCGGGAAGCATTTTAGAGCATATGTTTATAGGCATATTTTGTTTTATTTTTATCCGTAGAGTCACCCACCAAAGTTAAATACACTATTTTTTGTCACTCTGTATATGGTATTACTTAGAAACGTATACTCGCTATACTCTCTCAAGGGATTTCCCCAACCCTTCTACTTCGATGAATCAGTCGTAGCAAAGAGGTGACTGAAATGAATTGCTTTCGGGAAAGCGTTTCCAAAACCGTACTTACAATTAATGTCTAGGACGACGGCCTTGGTCTCGGGCGGCACTATGTTGTTGTTGGTCGCCTGGCAGATCAGTCGCGCGTGCAAATGCTGGCGTCCCACGTTGGGAAAAGTCAGGTGATTGACGACCACGCCGTCCGATCGGTTGTCGTACGAGTCGTCGATTACGGTGTTCTCGAGGAACCAGACGACTCGGGGACGGGGTCGACCTGAAAAGAAAATAATAGTTTGAATAATTGTGACTGTTACTTTTTCTTTTAATACTCTCCAAAAAATTCCTACATGGGTATTTCGCCACTGCTAGAAAATCTAAAAAATAAAATAGTAATTTTGGAGACTCATTGTCAGCAGTTAGGTTTACTGATAAACAAGTTTGCCTAACGAACAAAAAAATGCTTAACTTTTCGGAAAGTTTACCTCTTGTCGTCTTCAAAAACTGTAACGGGTAGAAAGACGTTTACATAGGAAACATTTTAGTCAATTATATTTGTAATGTAATTCTATTTTGTTTGATTATTTTCTTTCTTAACTCTTTTGGTTGGTGAGTTATTTTTAAAAAAAATGAAAAAGATGTATTTTCAAAAACTTTTTGAAATAAAAAAATCAGGCCTATCTTAAAAAAAGGTTATTCTTTAAACAAGTTTTACCAGATAGATATGATTCCAAACAAAACGACATTTAATAACAAACAAGTAAAGGGGCTGAGTATCTTTTGAGTGTATATTCTCAAAATATATACCGTATGATGGAAAAACTTAGGAAAAACCCCTAGGAGATGCAAGACCTTGCCGTTGGTGGGGAAGCTCCTCGTTAGGTGCTAGGGGGAATCCCCCCTAGCGCTTGGCTTGGTCTAACAAGCATCTCACTGATCCTCTTGTCCCTGGCTGACGTGCCGTGGCCAGGGAATTGCACCAAGACATATAACGATGCCGGACGGGGCTACCCCTATCCGTCGTACCAGCCACCCTCTACTGACTGTGGTCATGTCTCGCAGTAGAGGGTGTGGTCATGTCTGAGTCGGTAGAGGGTGTGGGGGGGTCTGAGTCTGTAGAGGGTGTGGGAGGGTCTTGACTTAACCGCCTGGACCAAGGGGAGACAACCTCACCAAAAACCTAAATCCTACGATAGCGGGACCAGGTCGTTAGACAGCGTGGCTAGATAAAGGACTAGCCATTACTGACCCCAACCTTGGGGCATCAGGGGGCACCCCATTTTATTTACCCCTTACACGCGGGGCTCTGTAGAAGTGGACCGACTATTCCTGGCGACTCGTAGGAACACTATGATATCTAGCATTAAAAACACCACCGGTGAAGCTGTGGGGAAGCCCCCTAGCAACACTGGGAACATTGCAAATAAAAAATCGAAGGGACTAAGTCCAAAGGAAACTACAAAAGGGACGGCTGACACTTGCTTGGGATCATCCTCCACAAGTGGCACACAAGCTACCACCTTCTCCAGCAAGGGTCGGGAGCCTACCTCTAGACCCAATAAGCGACACAAGCTACCGTTTCGGCCTGGGTCAAGCAGGCGGGCTAGACGATCCTCTGAGAGACGATCCTCTGCACCGTATGATAAACATATCATACGTAAAAATTAAAAACAAATTAAAAATGATTATACAGAAAGTTTGAAGCTTTTTGGTTTTACCTTATAAGTAATTGTTATCAGGTAGTAATTATTAATTTTGAAGTTTAATTTGATATAATATCATTATAACAGAACGTCAACGGTTTTTGTAGACGTATCTGTTTAAAAAAAACTAATGTGTTCTCAGATTATTTAAATAATAGTATTTAAATACACACACCGGAAAAATCTAGGGATATTATTTTATTAAAGTTAAAAATAAATGTTTTGAATAAACAACCACATATTTGTAGGCCGATTCTTTCTACTTCGATTGAAACGAAGTAGTCACACTAGTTATTTCTAAATTTGGGATATTTGCAGAAGTGTTTGTGCATTTTTTGTCAAATGTATAAAAAGCACCTAGCATCAATTGTTCGAATTTAACCTGTACTGGCTATGTTTTTATGATAACTGGCCAGAATTCATTCAAATAACTCTGTTTAGTATTAAACGACATTATGGAGCTGAGACATCTTAACAGAGACGAAATGCTAAGGGCCATGGGTATGCTCGAAGCTGGAATGAGCCAAATCGACGTAGCTAGAGCATTAAATACAACGCAAAGTGTAATATCGCGATTAAGTGGACGCTAACGCGAAAGTGGTGATGTTGCTGAAAGGCACACAGGGCGACATCGCATTACTACCCCTCAGCAAGATCATTTTTTACAATTAAATGCTCGGCGCCGACCGACTCTTACAGCACCAGAGCTTAGTTTAATTCTCCAGGAAACACATAATGTAACCGTTAGTCCTGACACTGTTCGCAATAGATTAAGAGAGGTCAACTTAAGAAGCAGACGCCCCTGAAGAGCTCAACCCTTAACGAGAGGAAATAGAGAGGTACGATATTTGTGGGCTCAAGATCATGTTCCGTGGTCGAATGAACAATGGGACAATGTTCCCTTCACGAATCAGTCACGCTTTGGAATTCATCCGGATTCGAGAAGGCTTAGGGTATGGAGAGAACCGGGAAAACTTATTCGGTTGGATCATGTTCAGGAAGTGCACCCTTATCAAGGTGGAACAGTTATGGTCTGGGGAGGAGTCCAGTTAGGCCAAAAAACCGATCTCGTTTTTGTTGAAAGGTTTCTAACAGGAATCACATATCGTGATTTAATTCTTGAGCCTGTCGTGTTACCATATACCCATGATTTTGGGAGAAACTTCATTCTCATGCATGACAATGCACGGCCTCAATTGCCGGAGTGGTAAGTGAGTTTTATCAATTAAACATCTTACCCTGGCCGGCACAATCTCCTGACCTCAACCCCATCGAGCACGTATGGGACGCGGTCCAAAGAGGAATTTTGAAAATGGGTATGCCTCGTGAAACTCGTAGGGATCTGGTTCGGGCCGTGAATGCAGCGTGGCAGGCTCAAGAAGAGATCAACAACCTGATCAGGAGCATGGAGAAACGATGTAGGGCTGTAATGAACAGTAGAGGAGGTCATATCCTTTATTAAGTAAAAATGGTTTTATCTTTTTTTTAATTCACAGTTTAGAATAAAAAAATGTGTGTATTTTTTTGAGTTCAATAAAAATCAAGGTAAATTTGAAAAATTCCGTAAATTTCGCATTTTTATTTCCAATACGTCCTGTAAACTACTTCTTTATTTTAATTTTATTATATCAGAAATGCAAATAATAAAATTACTGACGATGGCTGGATAAAATTGTAATATCCCTAGACTTTTCCGGTGTGTGTATTTTAAATAGTTTTTTCTTTATACTTTGTATTTTTTTGCTTCCGTAACACTGTAACGGTTACAGTTTTTGAGATACTGCCATCTCCAGTTTCAGACACATTATAAAAATAAATAATACTTAAACAAGTAACTAAAATGGTTTAATTTGAATTCCCGCTGGTTTTGTAGTACTTCTTTTCTAAGAACACTAGAGGGCGCTACAGACAACTTAATCTTGACAAAATAATTTACTGCTACCTCCGGAAAAACTCCTTAATACTATTTCTTGCAACTGCAAAAAAGGAAGAAGAAGAAGAAGAAGAAGAAGAAGAAGAAAAAGAAGAAGAAGAAGAAGAAGAAGAAGAAGAATGTCTGTTGAAGTTGAATTCGAAAGTTATTAATCAGTATATGGATAACCTAAATTTAAATAATTTCTGCTTATTAGCCTTGTGGGGGTGTCAAAACTTGATGAACTGTTCAGTCTGGTTTCCTGTATTGCCTTCATACAACCTTATGTGTTATTCTGCTCATCTCATTCAAAAGCTAGCAAAACATCTCTAGATAATTTTACTCTATTTTGTCATTTTCTAGGTCAGTTTAAATTGCAGCTACAGCATATTTTAAAACACAATAATATAAATGAAATAATTATGTAAGTACCGTACGATCGAAAAAAAAACGTCGTCAGCGATGACTATGAAGTCAAGATCGCTATCATTTTATTTGTAGAATTATATGGAGAATCTGATCGATAGTCATTTCCAAGCCAACTGGACGCCGTTTTTTCGATCATACGGTATATTATTATATTCTCCAAATATAATTGAATATTTTAAGTTTAATTTTCCAACTACCTTTGCCAATATTTTTTTTCCGTCCGGAAAGATATTAATGCCCACGCAATAGAATCCTTAAAGAATCGTTTATCATCGGCAAGATTATCTGCATCTGCGGCCCATTCTCCGAACGTCGAAGAGGATTAATATCAATTCTGTCGATGCGTAGATCGGAAGTTTTAACAAAATCCCACCGAGTTTCGGGCCAGATGTTATCGGATGGTGGAGGTAGCTGCGGTAATAAAAGGTTTAAGTGTGTGATTAATATTCTTGGCGTAGGTAGACGAATGGAGCGAGTTCATTTTAAATCTGTAGTAAATTGAGTTAGATCGTATGTAATTGTATGATTCAATTATAGGGTAAAGTTTTAAATAAATCCAAATATTGTTAGGGGTAGTATATTTCGGCTTCAGAAACACAACTATGGTAATCGCAAAACAAATCCTAATGCACGTGACAACTCTGAGTGACAAGCGATGACGACACGCGGCCAGATTGTGATGGATTTATGAGATGAATGTAAATTTAAAATTGACAAACAATAATATTTATTTTATCACTTTTTAAAAGAGTTTTACGTTTTATTTTTAATTTAATAACTAATATTTTAGTAACTAATTGATTTATTTGTTTTATATCTTATTTTACTTATTACGTATTGGCAAAAACTAGTCCATTATGAAGATTATTCTAAGTGTTATTATGGGTTATTTATTTATTAAACATCTTACAACGCCATAAGTAGTAATAATAAATAAGAGGGTGCTATTAATGCACAAACTAATAATCACAGAATTTAATAAAAACTAACTTTGAAAGTGATATAATATGCTTATCGATCAAACTTGCTTCTCTGACTGCAGTCAAAGATGATAAAGGACCTTTATTGTCAAGTTCTCTTTCAAATTGTTTATCAGGGAAGCTACAACCTCTTTGCTTCGACTGTTTAAATGCTTCGGCATATTTTCAACATAAAATGCAATACAAAAACACGAAAATTTAGTTAATAACTGTTTATGCTTAAATACAATTTTTGAAAAAAAGACTACGAAAA